AATGCCTATCAGTCCAGAAGCAAACCACCAATTTCTAACTCTGACCATAATGTGGTACATCTTATCCCGATGTACACATCAAAATTAAAAAGTCAAAAACCAGAGATTAAGGTGGTTCGACAGTGGACTGATGACAGCAGAGAGGAGCTGGGAGCTTGCTTCGACTGCACGGACTGGCAAGTGCTGAGGGGGGACACATTGGAAGAAACTTGCACTGCTACAACAGATTATATCAACTTCTGTGTACAGTCTATCATACCCACAAAAACAGTTAAGGTGTACCCTAATAACAAAACTTATGTAACTAAAGACATTAAACAAGTAATGAATTTGAGAAAATTGGCGTTTAAAAATAAGGATAGAAGAGAGTTACAAAAAACAAATAAAGAACTGAGGGAAAAATTGAGGAAGGCAAAGGAGGCACACAAGAAACATCTGGAGGAAGCTTTCAAGCCTGGCAATCCACGTAAAACGTGGGATACAATAAAAAGTATGACAGGCATGCCAGGTAAAAACAGGATACCATTTGTGACAAGTGATGAGATAACCTCTGCCACGGAATTGAACACCTTTTTTACAAGGTTTGAAACCTCTGGGAGTACGGAGAGATGCAGGAAGGTGTTGGAGTCAGTCACGATGGGCTCCGAGGATAGAGTGACAATTACAGTGGGTCAGGTGGAAAAAGTATTTGGTCAGCTTAATTCACGTAAAGCCACCGGCCCGGACAACATCAGTGCCTCTATCCTGAAAACTTACAGCAAGGAGCTAGCACCAGTGTGGCAACCCATCTTCCAACAATCCATGGATACGCACACGGTCCCTGTGGCCTGGAAAACATCGCAAATCATTCCCCTACCAAAGAAATCATGCCCCATGGAGTGTAATGACTTCAGACCCGTGGCTTTAACATCCGTATTAATGAAGTCATTGGAAAAAATCGTAGCAAATGAGCTCTCTCAGTCTGTACAGGATATCCTGGATCCGTTCCAATTCGCATATAGACAACATCGTAGCACGGAGGATGCTGTCGGCACTCTTACGCATCTGGTCTCAAAACATCTGGACACCCCGAAAATAAAGCCATATGCCAGGGTACTGTTCATTGACTTCTCCTCTGCATTTAATACAATAAAACCGGACATATTGTTATCTAAAATGGCCCTAATGGGTACGAATCCATATCTCATTCATTGGTACTGTTCATTCCTCACTAACAGGCAACAGCTGGTTAGGGTCAATAACACCTATTCACCCATGGTCACAACCAGCTGCGGTGCCCCTCAAGGATGTGTTAGCTCTCCTTTGCTCTTCACACTCTATACCAACGACTGTGTTACCTTTGCACCCAACCATCATATCATCAAATTTTCTGATGATACTGCTCTGGTAGCTTTGATGAAGGAGGGGGAAGGGGCTGAACTTTATGGGCAAACAGTGAATAATCTTGTAGAGTGGTGCGATGAAAATGCTATCATTCTCAATACACAGAAAACGGAAGAGATCATCTTCGGCACCTCTCATGAATGCCACATTACACCATTAATCATCCATAATCAAATCATAAAACAAAAATCATCATTTAAATATCTTGGAGTGTATGTGGACTGTGACCTTTCCTGGACCTATCATGTAGACTACATCTGCGGAAAGGTACAACAGAGAATTTATTTTTTAAGGAGACTTAGGTCATTCGGAGCGAGAAGTGAAATCCTGTCACTTTTCTTTGTGTCAACCATTCAAAGCATTCTGCAGTATGGAGGCGCAGTGTGGTTTGGGGGCCTCTCAGCTCATTTGAAGGCCAGGATTTTCCGACTCCTGGGAATTTGTTCCAAATTGGTGGGACAGTCGGTTGAAAAGGCGTTTATTGAAAGTCATGAAGTACATACTGTACGATTGGCTCATAAAATCACCCAAGATTATTCCCATGTGTTGAATCAAGAGTATCAACTCCTGCCCTCTGGGAGACGCTATAGGGTCCCAGAGTGCAGGAAGAACAAATATAAACACTCATTTGTTCCTCTGTCTATATCGATGCTGAATCAACACATGAGGGGAAAGAAGAGATAGTTTTCCCCCCACTTGCATTTTAATATATGTATATATTTATGGCTATTGAAGAACACTCCTGCAGGGCGGAGTACCCATAATATTATGGAAGTACTTTTGTATACTTTTTATTGATGACTGTATGTTTTTGTTTTTAGTTTGTGTGTGCTATAATTGTTGGAGCTTGTATTGCAAGACAAATTTCCGTGTACACGGACAATAAAGTACTATCTTATCTTATCTTATCTTATCTTATATAGTTAATTACAGAATTTCACACAAAAAGCCCTAAAACAGACAATTAACCGGCATAATTGCAATTATTTTTCAGACAATTAATCGTCAGCCAAATTTCATAATCGTGACAGCCCTAGATGAGAAATATTGTAATGTTTTAATATCGCAAGATCTCATCACAACTCTATACCTCTTAAGCTTGTTTTATGTGTAGGACAACTTGGACGTTCATACCGAACCGAAAAACCTATACCAAATATTTTCGATATGGATGTGTGTAACATTACACCTCTACTGCCGATATACTGTACACCTGTAAATACTAAGGATGCTCGGATCAGGAGTTTTGCAGCTGATACCGATTACTGATTTCTTGTCATAATGATTGTCCGATACCAATCATTCAAGCTTTATATAGGTGATATATCAGCATCTCTGTTGATCGTCACTGTTAACCCCTTAACAATTAACCCTGAAAGCATTTTTAATGATTTCACGTCTTAAGTGACATACTTTAAAGTAATGGCTTATAACTAGGGGTGTAACGATACACTCGTTTTCTCGATGCATCAATTACAAATCCTGACCATATATATGCATCGATCTTGAAACATGTATTTTTTATTCGTGAATCGTTTATTTCGGTTAATAATCAATTTAAAATGCTAAGAATCTAATTAATCGAGATTAGATAGCGATTCAGTGCTTTAAAATATATAAACAATAAATGACTACATGCGCAAATTAATGGAGACTTGTTACTAAGTTATGTGCGTCATTCGCACCTCCCTCTTGCTATTAACTCAGATTTTGAATTAAAATCGAGCTTGAAAAAATTTCTTAACTCTGTGATTAGGGATGGGCATCGTTAAGAAATTATCGATATCGATGCCATTGTCGAGTCTGCTTATCGATGCGATTCCTTATCGATTCCCATATCGATTCCTGTACCATTTGCTGAACACTTACAGGGTGGCTTTAAGAGTTGTTGGCTTTGAATGTCTAATTTAAAGTGGTTTTAGAGAATGAAAACCAAGTGTGCAATATCTAGGGCCCTATGAAATCAGTTTTATTTTTTCCCAAATTCCGTTTAATTTTTTCCCAAACTCCGTTTTAATTTTTGGGAATTCATTTGTTTTACCCTTTACTGTTATTTTTGTCATAAAAAGAGTGTGCTTTTAAAGTTAATGATTAAAATGTATACAAATAAAATAGGAATGACCTTAAATTACAGACATTTACTGAGTAGCCTTTTCAGGACAAATACTGCATGATGCCACATGACACTGCAATCTTCAAGTAACAACAAAATATGGTTATGAGCTTTAAACTGTCCAGTAAAATAAATTATATTAGTTTATATAAGTTTAAATAAAAGTCACACTTTGTCGCTCTCTCGCCCAGTGTCGCTCGCGGAGATCGCTTCGCTTTAGTCCAGTCCGGCGCCTCATAGACAGACGCGGTGTGTGCGTGTGCGTGTGTGTGTGCGTGTATGTGTGAGAGACGCGTGAGTGACAGAGAGACGGAGGGAGAGCGGGGAAAGGAAATACAACGGAAAGAATATGCTGCGTGTTTTAAATAGCATAAAAACAATGAACGAAACGCAATATGTGGCGGCCGGAGTTGATTTTGTGGCCGCGAATTAGTCCGTGTGTGGGAAACACTGCATAAAAGTCACGTGCGAACTGCTCGGCTCAGTACTGAGGGCTTATAGCGTCGAGTTTCTTAACTTTTTCGCCGACGAAAGCAGAGCCGTGGAGAGCCGCTTCGCCATGCTTTCATTGTTTTGATGCCGTCATTGGAGCTGAAATGACGGGAGGGGTTGCGTCGCCGAGATTTGCTTCCCCCGGTCTGCATTTAAAATGAAGCCACACTCTCGATCGTTTACGTCTCGTAGCCATCGCGCTTTTGGGGGATTTAAAAATCCAGTCGCACACTGTAACGTCATGCCGCGACGCGGGAATGGATGGAACGGAACATTCGGAATCGTTAGTGGAATCGTTAACGTGTGGACGTGGACGATTCCGATGGATCGGAACGTTTGGAACCGGTTCCAAACCGGAACCTGGAACCGATTCCCAAGCCTATCTGTCATCACGGCCGGTGCTGTCATTTTTATTTTTATTTTGCGGGGATTAGGCATAGGCTAGCTGTGGTGTAATGACGTTAGCTACACAAATGTCCAGTCCATATCTGATATGTAACGTAGATGGGTACGGGCATAGCATATTTACGTCCAAAGGCACAGCAGAGTTGTGCTTTTTGCCGTACATGTTAAAGAATACAGGATCGAAGTGCGCATGCGGTTTTTCGCTTGTCGTCTGCAATGAATGGACCGTAAAAGCACTGCTTATTCTACCATTTGTTTTTTATTTGATTATGCGTAACTGCTACATTTGTCATCGTAACGTCTAAACAATTGGAATAACACCCATATTGCATATTTAAATCACAAGAATAAACAGTAAATATACAAATACAAGTTTATTAAATCAAATCATTTATTATTTAATAAACATTTTTATTTTTGAATTTTGGCAGGGTAGGCAGTGCCTAGTTTGCCTACCCAGAACGCACGTCACTGGGTGCAGTACAATAATAATATGACTATTGTAATTGTCACTGGATTAGTTTGTGTGTTCATCTGAAACCCTGATGTTTGACCTCTTGCTTTCTGTGAGTCACTTGTGTTTTTTATTTGTCTGAACTGATTTTAGACCTGACAGAAGTGAAGGTGGAGTGTAAAGAAATTAATGAAGTGGAGGAGGATCATCAGTATAAGAGACCTCAGAAGATCATAACAGGAGAAAAATCATTGAGTTGCTCACAGATCGAAAGCGATTTCTCCCAGAAAAGAACAGGAGCCAATAAACCACCATTCATCTGCCCTCAGTGTGGGAAGTGTTTCACACTCAAAGTGAACCTTAAAAGCCACATCAAAATCCACACCGGAGAGCGTGATTTCAGATGCCTGCAGTGCGGCAGTAGCTTCTTCAAAAACGCAGATCTGAAGAGGCACCGGCGAACACACAGCGGAGAGAAGCCATTCAGCTGCCCTCACTGCGGGAAGAGCTTCACTCGCAAAGAGAGCCTGGAGAATCACATCCGAATCCACACCGGAGAGAAGCCTTTCACCTGCCTGCTGTGTGCCAAGAGCTTCATACGCAAAGGACACTTCAAGAACCACATGCGCGTTCACTCCGGAGAGAGGCCGTTCACGTGCCACGAGTGTGGGAAGAGCTTCACGCAGGCCACCATCCTCAAAAACCACCAGCACTCGCACTCGGGAGAGAGACCGTTCGGCTGCGGCCAGTGCGGGAAGAGTTTCATTTCAGCCAAGCACCTGAAGATACACCAGAAAATTCACCAGAAGCTTTTCTTGTGCTCTTTCTGTGGAAAGATGTTCTCGCAGCTGGGCTACCTGAAAGAGCACCAGAAAATACACACCGGCGAGAAAGCTCACATGTGCTCGGTGTGCGGGAATAGCTTCTCTAGAGCCAAATATCTGAAAGAGCATCGAAAGGTCCATACGGGAGAGAAACCCTACAAGTGTTCACATTGTGCCAAGAGCTTTAGTCAGTCAGGGAACCTGAAAATACACGAGAGAGTTCATACCGGAGAGAAGCCGCACCGCTGCCCGCCGTGTGGAAGGAATTTCATCACATCCAGCGCTCTGCTGTCTCATCGAAGGAGATGTCGCCAAAAGTTTTCGTAGTGAGCAGAAGTCAGTAGTGGGAAATTCTATGAACTGAAGTGTCATTTGCTTCTATGTAGGGTATCTGGACTGTGTCAGTTGGGACTCATTAAATTCTACAGGTGAAAAGCTTTTAACATTTGACTCGCGTCTAGTAATTCACCAGCAAGCGCCAGAAAGTCTGTTCCTAATGGCGTTCATTGACACTTTCATAGCGAACGTGAGTTAAAACAAAAACACCCATAAAACCAGCGATGAGCCAGCTTCACACAGATGTTATCATCTCAAAACCTTCCCCCTTTTCGTTGTGTACACCACACACACACACACACACACACACACAGCCAGGGGTACGAGCCTCAAAGAGATCAGTATCTCCTCAGAGCCATGCCAGGTGGCCAAGGAAAGCTCACTCCAAAAACACACACACAGACTTTTCATGAACTTCCTCATATAAAGACATTACTAAGATATATTTGATATATTTGATATGTTTTTATGTTGGCTATGTCCTATTGGGGTTTCTATGATGTTATCATAGTATTAAATGAATTATAAATGCTTGCAAGTATGCTTTGAGATGTAACTTTGCAGTCCTACACTTGTTACATGTCTTTTTCTGATACCTTCAGAATCCCCTGGGTCTGACCAAGCCATATATATATATATATATATATATATGAACATACCGTAAAATGTATGATTACATGTATAACCTTTCTCCGAAGGAAAAATGACCACTTCTAACCCGGTCATAAAACATGCAAATGAACGAGCCTCAACAAGACAAAGAAGACTGACTCGCGCCAAAAACTGAGTCTCATTGGTTGGTTCCTCCCAAAGGAGGCGTGAACTCTTTACTTTTAAAAGTCAGGATCTCGTGTTTACAAACTCTCTTACCTCTCTTACCCCCTTCCTTTCTTCATGTGATGCCTCGTCTTCGGGATCTGCCCTCCGGGTGATCTTTTTTCTTTTGTTTAAGTTTTGTTTTCCCTTTTTCGTATTCTACTATTGTTCATTTCCACAGACGAGTAAATGAACTTAGCCTGAATGGTTTCTTTGGTAACTTTACGTCCGAGACCTTTAAACCTTCGTTTGAAAGTGCGCACTCCGGACCCATCCGCAAAACCACGTGACGCTCCCACGGAACGCCACACACACACGCTCTCTCGACTCAGTACCACAAAGAACCATATGCAAGTATTCGTTTATCGAGCTTTCAGAGCATTAAGATTGTGTTTTTCCTTGTTGTCTCTCAAAGGTTTAACTGTCCAGATGAATTTTGCCAAACTCTGATCCTTCCAGATTCTCTCCCTCTCTCTTTATTTATGCATTCTCTTTCATTGTCGGTGTATTTTGTTGTAAATAAATTTTATTCCTTGTAACGTTAGTAACCGTATACGTAGTTTCCATTTATTAAAATACATTATATTCATTTGATTGACTGTCTCTTGCTCATATACAAGTCCCTTCAATGTACGATCCAAAGCTACGAGCTTTAAAAGTATAAAATTACTTTAACTAGCAGGCTATCTGTGTAAAACAGGAAGGTTGTCTTCATGGCCAGAGCGAATGCCTTTCCTGCGAGTCTCTAAGATGATTTCTGTACGAGTTGATAAAGATCACGTGATCAGTTTGCTGGAGAAACAGATCATCCGATACTGAATTAATTCCATCAGGGGTATCCTTAGAATTGATATATGATAGACATAATTGATTATATTAATATTTAATTATAATCCGTTTTGATTAAGTATTGATATACAATTGAGCTAATTTTAACCTGTCTGTAAAATATGTGTACATGGGCAATTAATTATAATCCATTGTGGTTAATTGTCTATGTACATATGAATGCAGATGCAAGGAACATATTATCCCTTTTTGGGAGATTTAATAATTAATTCATTACATTTATATAGCGCTTTTCTAGGCACTCAAAGCGCTTCACATGGAAGGGGGAATCTCCTCAACCACCACCAATGTGCAGCATCCACTTGGATGATGCGACGGCAGCCATAGTGCGCCAGAACGCTCACCACACACCAGCTTACTGGTGGAGAGGAGACAGAGTGATGAAGCCAATCAGTGTATATATATATATATGGGGATGATTAGGAGGCCATGATGGACAGAGGCCACTGGGCAAATTTGGCCAGGATGCCGGGGTTACACCCCTACTCTTTCAAAAGACATCCTGGGATTTTTAATGACCACAGAGAGTCAGGGCCTCGGTTTAACGTCTCATCCGAAGGATGGTGCTCTTTTGACAGTATAGTGTCCCCGTCACTACACTGGGGCGTTAGGACCCACACAGACCACAGGGTGAGCGCCCCCTGCTGGCCTCACTAACACCTCTTCCAGCAGCAACCTGGTTTTCTCAGAAGGTCTCCCATCCAGGTACTAACCAGGCTCAACCCTGCTTAGCTTCAGTGGGCAACCAGTCTTGGGCTACAGGGTGATATGGCTGCTGGCATTATTTAATAATGTAAAGTTTATCTGGTTCAAACCCGTAATGAATAATTATTAATTATTGAATACATATTCCCCAAATCGACCAGAGAGACTCTACATCTACATCTTTGTGTACAGATACATTAAACATGTTAACTGTGTGTAGTGGCATTTGTTTTCATCCACCTAATTATATGCAAATTTTGGGGTATTGCATAAAAAACGCTGGATGGAAATGCCAAGATAAGATAAAAAACACATGCGCTCAATTTAAGCGAATAATTGTTTTATCTGATAAGATATGTGACTAAAACTGAAATAGAAACACATTTACCGAATAATTCCCTCGACGTGCAACAATAAACTCATGCCAGTTGTTCAAAAAATTTAATCTGGATCACAATGATCTGGATTCTAAAATCCCATGTTCTGCTTTCCAGGATCAGGTCATCAATCCTATATTGTTTTTCAAAGCAAAATTGGATTGGATCCCCATGATCCAGATACACACTTATTCAGATTACCAAATCTAGATTTCTACATAGGGACATGGTAATGAAAAAAATATTAGATGGTTTTGCATTCTCTTTTAAAAAAGAACAACCAATTTTTAAGATTTGATCCAATCCGACAGCCGAAATCTGGTCAGATTACTTTTGAACAGCTGCCCCCTGGTTGCGTTCATAAGAGAATATGACAGCGTTTATTGGGTTTCATCTGACACTCTGAGACGCCACTCATTTATGATAGAGGGAAAAAGAGCCGATTGAAGAAACTTAAATTTTTAGTACTAATATTTTGTGCCAATATCCCAGGAAGTGAAATTTTGTTCTATTGAACACATGGAATGGAATCGCTGCTTTGCCTTTTAGTCGGTCACGTTCAACATACGTCGACGTGCTGATGTATTGGGATCGCGTCAGATTGCCCTTAACATCTTCGAGTGTAAACGTAACGAGCCAAGCGATTTGCATCTCGCGCTGCACCCCGTAGCGCGGGTATAAATAGGAAGCAGATGCAAGCACCAGTTGTCTTTCACTTCGGAGCCGAACAGATAATTCTGTATGCTGTCTCTGAGAGTGGTATAAATACAGTCAAACCAGAACAGAGCTATTTCGACAACTAGCCAGGGTGATCTAACGATTATAGTGAGGTCTTCCCTGCCCGGTAACCAATCCCTGTGGGCCCCTCACTCGCAAACCATGGAGCTTCCGGTTGATTGTTGGGCACTCTCATAACCAGCCAGTCGTTTCATTTGGAGCTCCTCCTGCCATCCAGATGTCGATTGCTGCATCGGAAGGTGCCCGGATATATGCCCAAGGTTCCTACCACTCCCTTCCGGGACCAGGTAGTAAAACTTGCAAGTGCTGCCCCTGGAGGAGGGAGACCCAGACTTGTTTTTTCTCTGTCCCGTTCGCGCTCTGCGGCTGTACGTGGACAGAACACAAAGCCTCAGGACCTCAGAACAGCTCTTTGTCTGTTACGGAGGCCAGCAGAAGGGAAAGGCTGTCTCCAAGCAGAGGTTGGCCCACTGGATTGTGGATGCCTTTGTCTTGGCGTACCAAGACGCACCATGCCCCCTCAGGTTGCGAGCCCACTCCACTAGGTAAAAAAAGGCACAAAAGTGCCTCGCTGACAGATATTTGTAGAGCTGCGGGCTGGGTGTCACCTAACACGTTCGCTAGGTTTAATAGCCTTTGGTTCTTTGCACTGGTATCCAAAGTGGCTGGCTACGCCATTCCCCTCCTATGGACTGGATGCATGCACCATTTCTACTCCAGGTACGTTCCTCGTCTAGGCGAATCCTCTTGAGTTTCTCGACACCCTCTGGCAGCCGGACGCCAGGCCTAACACTTGTATGCATTGCTGGAACCTGTGTTAGGCTGGGTCCCATATGTTGTGATCCCTACGGTGATCCCATATATGTATTCTTCTAAGGTACGGCTCCCTGCGGTATCCCCCCACCCCCGGACGCTTTCCCAGTGTCATCCAATAGTCTGACTGAATGGTTAATGCGTAACAGCAGCAAAGACTTCCTCGGCGTATGTCCCGTCTTCCGCCCCTCAGGAGGCTTACGCTGGCTGCTGAAAGGTGGCAGCAATAGGTGGCGTTATACTTGGGATCTCAATACATTGGCATGTCGATGTATGTAGAACGTGACCAACTGAAAGGTAACATCTCAGTTACGTATGGAGCCCTCGTTCCCTGAAGAAGGGAACGGAGACGTGCGTCCCGTCCCCACCGTTGCTGGACCACCGCTGATGTGGTGGTCCTGCTTGGCTCCTCAGCGAAAAACAACTGGTGCTTGCATGCGCTTCCTATCATACCCACACTGCGGGGCGGAGCGCGAGATGCAAATCAATGTGCATTGGCTCGTTCTATTAACACTTTAAGATGATTGGGGCTCTCTGATGCGATCCTAATGCGTAAGTAGATTAAGTTAAATTTTCAGCTTTTGATTGAAACAGGTAATGTCCATGCATAGCCTTAACAAATCAAGTGTATAAATGTCATATATTCGTTTTGTGAGAAACAGAACATTATTTATAAAAGTACTCTTTGCCTCACACTAGAAACTGCATTTTTTATTGTTTTTCAAACCCTTTCCTAAATTG